GTGTCATTTCTTCAGTGTTGTCACATGAAAAGATATAATAAAATATTTACAAAAATGTGAGGGCTGTACTCACTTCTGTGAGATACTGACACAGTGGTGGCCAAAATTATTAGAACACTACTATTTTCACCAGTTAAAAAATGATTTTAAGTTAGTTATTTCTATCTTTTGCTGTAGTGTGTCAGTAGGACTCATCATCATCCAGTCTGTCTGGAAAGACATGAAGAAACAGAACAAACTGAGACAGACTAAATCCAGAAGAACTGTGGCACTGTCTTCAAGATGCTTCAAGAAACCTACCTGCAAAGCTACAGTACTGTAAAAGTTTTAGGCACTTGTGTAAAAATGCGGTAAAATGAGAATGTTTTCAAAAATAATGTCATACACAGATTTTCTTTATCAATTAACTTCTATTAACTAAATTAAATAAACTTTTGGTGTGACCATCCTTTACGTTTAGCAGCTTTTGCCCTAGGTGCACTTGCACATAGTTTTTCAGGTAGCTTTGCAGGTAGGTCTCTTGAAGCATCTTGGAGACATTAGCACAATATTTGGCCGAGAAATATTGGAAAAATATTGGAGAGCGTTATTTCTCCCACCCATCAGACTCGACGTTCACGCGGGTTGCCAGATTTAACAATAAACGAGTGCAACTGCTGACAATGTTAGACAACAAGCCTTGCAGTGTAAAGTGATGAGTTGTTTTGTCAATGTCAATGTCCATTATATTTATATAGCACTATTAAACACAACCATGGGTTGACCAATGTGCTGCACATTAAAACCATTTCAATAAGACAATACAAAATAATTAATATAAAAGAAACAGTACAGTAGAACATTCTCATTTATAAAACGAGAATTTCAATGGAATGAAAGACCATGCTTCCTAAAAATAGAACCCAATGGGAGCATATACAATGAAAAAAGAACAGGAGCTAGAATGGAACCCTGGGGAACACCACACGACAAAGAAGCTACCTCAGATGAGTATTCAACAATGTTAACTCTAAAACTTCGATTGGAGAAATATGAATTAAACCATGTTATATGTTTTATCCATGTTTAATATGTCTCTGGTCATAGAGCTTTTTAGATGGAGGATGAGGCTTTTTAGGTGGTTTAGAATCTGCGATCTCTGACCCAGTTCGTTTGCTGGCTTCAATGGCAGCAATACGCTGTATTTTCCGCCAACTGGCAACCCGGGTGTTGAAATCCTATTGGGTAAACTGGCAGTGGGTGGAACCACGCAGAGAAAAACAAAAAATAGACATTCCGACACAGAATGCCCATTTCATATAATAACGGGCATTAGCGTTGTTTTTGGATAAACAGGTATGTGAACATGTTTCCTAAATATCTGCAAACATATTATGGTATTTTTATGCTTTAGTACAGTCAAAAAATGTGCCTACATACAGCACCTTTAATGAAAAATATAAAGAAGAAGAAATTTTGTGTTTATTTTCCCACCTGCTGTACCAAAAATGTACCAAACTGTAACTTCAAAACCGAGGTATGTACCGAACTGTCATTTTTGTGTACCATTACACCCATAGACTGTATAAAAATATGGACGTAGTGTCCGTGACGTCACCCGTAGGTTTCTGAAGAGTGTTTTTGAAGCTCAAAGTTGGCGGAGCCGGCCGTCGCCATCTTGGCAGCGCGTCACTCCCGGATAATCGAAAATGGGCAAAGAGGCGGGAGCTGGTTGCTGAAACCATGCCCACCCAGCTCGACGGTGGCGTCAGCAGTGAAAATCCACCTGTCACTCAAGTGGCCACGCCCTTAATTATGCAGAACTTTAAGGCGTAATATAATTTAAACGGATGATTTATAAAAAAAAATTCACCCACCTCACAGTTGTCATGAAGGGCAAAATTAGCTATATAGACCAAAACCACTTTTAGTACCAGGCTGTAAACATTTTTTTCTGCTGTAAAATTGGGCATTTTAACATGGGGAGTCTATGGGACTTACTCCCTTTTGGAGCCAGCCTTTAGTGGCCAGTCGATGAATTGCAGTTTTAGTCACTTCCGTGTTGGTTTCGCGAGAGAGACCGGAAGGTTGCCGCTTGATTACACCCCTACAATTAGGGGTGTGCGATATGACGATTTTTGATCGTGGACGATAAAAATGTCTCCACGATCAGCTTTTGAAGAAATATCGTAGTATCGTGCTACAGTGCATTCTGTCAGTTGCAGTTCTGGTGCAAGATACTGTACAATGCGACATACATTCACATCAGTGTTAATTCAGCAGTAGAGTTACTCTTATAGGACACTGCACTTATTCGCAGTCACAAAAGTACATTATTTGCATCTGCTTTAGAGCCGTTAAACATTTAATTCACGCACTGTTGATTACTGGACTAAGTTAATAATACTGTCAAAACAAAACACACAAGGTTTACAAATAGACTAAGTTAGTTTATGTCTAAAATGAAAGTAAACAGTTGAGAGAAAGTCGGATACGTGCCTGTATATTAGATGCGTGCAGATCTTAAAGGGACAGTACTAAACATGCTGTCGACTGTCATTAAAGGGATGGTTCACCCAAAAATTTTATTTCTGTCGTTATTTACTCACTCACATGTTGTGCCAAAACTGTATTTATTTCTGTATTGTGCTGAACACAAAATAAAATATTTTAAAAAACGTGGGTAACCAAACAGTTGCTGGTCCCCATTAAATTTCATAGTAGGAAAAATACTATATAAGTCACTGTGGACCAGCAACTCTTTGTTTTTTCACGTTCTTCAAAATAACATTTATGTTCAGAGAAAGAAACTCATTCAGGTTTAAAACAACTTTTGAGTGAGTAAATTATGGCATAAAAATAAAACCCTATGACAGAACTGACAGACAGATGGGTGAACTATCCCTTTATTAATAAAACAACAAAACACAAAGAGAAAAATCACTCACTACTCTTGACTGAAGAACTTTAATACAGTTGCTTTGCTTTATTATTATTAATAATAATAATAATAATACTACATCTATCAATTTCTTGAATGCTCCTGCTGAATATTATACCTGAATATAAAGCACTGTTTTGTTTGTATATTAGCAACGTGTATCTTTGTGCTTATTTTTTAATAGCAGATAAAATAATGGAAGATTTTTATCTTCGCCCACTTTAGCCAAAAAATTTGCCATTCTTTTTTTACCTTGAAATTTTGTTACCTTGAAAGGCTTTGTCTTTATAATAGGGAAATTAGTTTGGCTGTAATGCTCAGACAACTTGCAAAATAGTAATACCAACATGACAAAGATTCGTGATTAAATCGTGATATTTTTTTTTTTAATTGTGATAAACTTTTCCACTACATTCTAATTTATTGAGATGCACCTGTATATTTGCTATATCGCCCACACCTACCTACAATCTACTGTGGCGACATTCAGACAAATAATTGAATGCTTTTTAACATCGTGCCATGATCTCCAGAACCCTTATGAGATCCTGAAGAGTGCAGGAATCTGAGCTGTGCACTATCATGATCAGACGTCCATGCCTGTGGGTATCTGCTGATTTAACTTTGAAAGAATGAACTGCATCACATTATGAAAAAAAAAACTAAATGTGCAGACACACAAACAAAGAGGAACACGCTGAACTGAAGATGTCATCAGAACAACAATCATGCAAAACCAAAGCCAATGTCATGTTATGAAAATAAATCATTCAGGCTTACATATATTACAATTTTGAACTGACGGTTCCAGTTTTCACTCAGAAATTGCTAGTAAATTTCACAAATAATTACAAAGAAAGAAACAGGATGTAACACACTGAATTAAATGTGAAATTTGAAGTAGAAAGACTATTTTCTTGTAAACATATCAGTAATCTATGCTTATGTTTTAAACTTCAAAACAT